TTTCCGCTGGCGAACATTCCTTTTCTGTTCTCGTCATCCGCCGCGAAACGAAAGCTACTCGCTGCTGCACCAAAAGTAACAGCATTCGCGTTAGAGACATTAGTGACACTGAAATTTTGAAGCTACTGTTTAAAATTTTTTGAAAAATCGGAATGCATGTCAAGACGTGGTTTCCACATTTTAGTTCTCGAAACACAAACGCAACATAGCAATAATAACATGTAGTTTATCGACAAGGGGTTGAAATAATTTCAAAAGTTTCGATCATCCATCAATGTACTACGATCGCTTTGGTTGAAATAATCATTAAATGGAATCGTGTGATGCGATTTCATTGAGTGCGCAAGCGTCGGTGCGAGTGAGCGAGTCGCGGAAGTAGTCGCGAGACACGAGTTTGCGGCAACGCGCATGCGAAATCGCACGCGTGAGAAACGAACAACGTAGATGCAAGTGCATCCGAGCGTAAACCGAGAGATTGAGCTTAAGGGAATGTTGGAGCAACGGCAATTACTACGAGTTACAGTGTAATCAAAATTTTCGAACTGGCTTCAATGGATTGCAAAATTTTTTTACAGAATTAAAATACGCATTAAAAAGTCCGAATACCGCGGGTATGTCGATTTCATAGAAAATCGCACAAAAATAAAATAATTCCTTTACTTTTGACTCGTATAACTGTCACCTGGGGTTAAAATTTGCTTAACATAAAAATTTTATAGTTCATACACTGAGAAAAAAAATTTTTTTTGTTTAAAAAAAATATTAGTTGATTCAACTAAATGCAGCGGTTACGGGTTGTCAGGCCAATATTTGTTAATTTAAACAAATAACATGTTGACATAGCTCATGTATAATATATTTAATTTAAATAAATATCCTGGAACTAAATAATCACTACGAATTAAATACGTATTTATAATGAAATTAATAACTTTTTTCTCAGTGTATGAATAACATAAATATTCAGTGGATCTAAGATTACTTGAACGAACAATACTGATTGTGAGTTTGTATAACTAACAAGTAAACCTACCTTTCTGTGATTCCTCGAATTAAATGAAACTTTGTATATTTGTAGAGTAATAAAAAATAATAGACACATATTTTTTTATGTACAAAAAATTTGCACACAAGTGTACTTTGTAATTACTATATTGCATAATGCGCACATAGTTTAACAATTTTTTAAACAATAATCTACGGAATTATCAAAGTCAAGTGATTTCTCTTGTAAATGTACCACTTTTGTTCTACAACAAATACTTTATAAACTGAGAAGATAACTGATTATGAATAAGCAATTAGAGTTTGACATTGTTGTTTCTCAAATGCAAGTTTACATCGTAGTTACAAAATAACTGTATCTGAAAAATGTTTTATGACATTGTTCTTCCAATATTTCGCCAATATTGGGTAAAAATTGAGTCCCCAATATATTGTTGAACCAATATTGGGGGATCCCATTTGCCTACAAATTGATTGCTTACAAGCACTTTTGCGCACAAATATAAAATTAAGGTTAAGTTAAATAAGTAGATAATTTGTATTTTTAAAGCAGAGTATTTGTTTTAAAATAGAGAATTCGTGTTTTTATATCAGAAAATTTGTGTTTTAAAATAGAATTTGTATTTTTAAAACAGAATAGTACCCGTAAGCAAAATCGAACTTTAAGCAATAATATATATAAGCAATCGATCTGTAGGCAATAATAAATGTAGGTTTCGTCTCTGAAAATTTTATTTGTGCGAAAAAGTGCTTGTAGGCAATCGAGCTGTAGGCAATAATTTTTGTGCGCAAACGAACAAAAATTATTGCCTACGGCAAAAGTGACGTAGGCAAATGATATTGTAGACAATCGATTTATAGGCAAAAGGAGCCATCTCTTCGATTCAAATATCTTTTCACGTGTCAGTTTTCTTTTATCAATGATACTATTAAACATTTAAATCCAGCCAATCGACGTTTTCTTTATACATCCGTATACTGCAGGTTTTATTATCGAAGACGCCTGAAGATAGGAAGTCGGGTCTGTCGGTCAATGACTGTGTAAACAACACATTTAAAGCGAATCGTTTCTTTCGTGCCCACTCTCTCGTTCCGATTCATCGTGAGTATTAGCGTTACATCGAGGATCCAATACAGTTATCTGCTAATGATAACAGCGATGACGTTCATCCGCGGGAAACTCGCGACGCGACACACCAGTTTGACAGGAGACGGTTGACTTATCGCGCTAATAATAATGCTCTTCGCTATATATACGCAGTAACGCAGAATAATAATGTAAGCGCTGCGACACGCGTGATTTCATATAATCGCTCGACCGTTACGAGATATCGAACTACTTACTCGGCTTAATCCTCTTATAGTATAATACTCGAAGAATATGCTCGCTATTGTTCCACGTTCTCAATGGAACCAACTGTTTCTCGATAATTTAATTCAATATTTGATTAAAATTTTTTTGCATTTTTTGCGGTTTATAAGATTATTGAGGTGTGAAAATTCATGTGTATCTAATTAAAAGTGCAAATTTTAAAGCACCTTTTATTTTTTTAATGGTACAAATTTCATGTATTTTCGTATATTGTTCATATATATCTTTTAAAAAGGATTATTTTGCGAAATAAACCTTCTTTAATATTATACATGTATACTACTCAAAACAATTATATGACTATTTCTTCAGAAAATGATGACATCTAGAAATATTTGAAATTTCGAAATTTTCTCTCAATATCCAAATTTGAGACATTAAATGAATATGTCTGTCGGAACATGCTACTTTGGTCTTTCCTAATCGCTGGCATTTGAGTCGAACTATAGAATCGTCCGAATCTTTCCTAATTGTTGCGAGTGGTATGTTGTTAACTTCCAACTATGTGTCTCGAAGCATTAATCAACCAGCTTGCCGTCATGCTCTTATTACTGTGAACGGTATTCTTTTTCTATCCGCTTCTGACGACCCTCAATTGATCTCTTTTGTATCGCTACGTATTTTTCTCATCGTCGTGCCTACCTGGTTAATGACTCCGCCGATCATCCACGGCGATCGTACTGAATTTCCGCCTACGTGTTTGCTTCCCGTGTGCCCAGGTGAAAGAAAAAGGGACAATGTTGTCGTACATGTTGCCGACGGAGGACAAGCCACCGCCCGGCGAACCCAGCAGCCAACAGAACAATTATCGCGACACCAGCAAGCTGCAAAAGAGCACCGCTGTGGTGAGCACATCTCCCAGAAAATGCACGGACACGACTAGAGCGATGATCGTCTCCACCAAGATCGAGGATCCGACTGGCGGCGATCCTGTCACCCGGCACGGTTTCCCTCGACCGGTCGAGAGCCCGAAGCACAATGGGACGACAACCACGAGGAAATCGACCCTGCACAACGCCAGCAGGGTTACTAAGGACGACAGCCTCTACAGCATCGACAGCGTAGCCAGTACCGCCGGCAGCGAACGTAAGAACAAGATTCTCAACGGCGCGAAGCACGCTAGTCTGAAGAGGTAAGTGAAGAAGATAGCATTAAAAAAGCGATTTATTTCAAATTAAGGTAATCATAAACGAGAAGTCATTAGACTAGATCTTGCACACTCTAAAAAATAACGTTAAATTATTTTTTAAACAATTATAAATAAAATTCAATCGAGAAATGTCAATCAACACAAATAAGCAAAAAAGGCCATATTCAGTCAAAGTAGACTGGTGATATCTAATAACATTTTTGCGTAAATCTTATAATTTCCAGTTCAAGCTTATTACTTTAAAATAAATTCTCTCTCTCTCTCTCTCAGCAAGTTCATTGGGTTTTATACATGATAAAATGCCTCTCTTTCGCGAAAAGAAAAAGAGAACGTCACTACATATCGGGTCTACAGACTGACTTTCGCAGCCCGTACGAGACTTTTGCCGGCACTTGCACGAAGGATAGGTCAGGGTCAACCTCACCGTGACTTCGATGGGTCGTCATAATGCATCGAACGGAGCCTCGCTCGGACAAGACGTACCGAGACCGTCTCCTGACTGCATTTAATAATTCTGACAAAAAAGACGCATGAGATAGTGAGAGAGATGTCTCAGTATGAAACCGATGTGAAATAACGCGAAGTAGAAAGAGGCTTGATCCTGTTGATTGTGTATGTTTTAACACTTTCAATGTGTCACAAATGTTATGATATTATCAAAACTGTATGACTAAAATAATATTCGGAGCGCGCTGAATTAGAGTAGCTAAACGGGTTCCGACGTAATATCAGTCTTGTCAACATGATATACGCAAAAGCGCAGTTCTTACAGTTTCTCGTGTTATGCCGATAAAAATTCCACTGAGAGAAATGTTTTGATACATATCAGTCTTAAAAACTGTGCTTTTGCGTATATCATGTTGACAAGACTGATATTACGTCGGAACCCGTTTAGCTATTCTAATTCAGCTCCGAATATTATGATATAATCATTGATTTTGTTGATATGTGACTAACAAAAATTTTTTTTATTTTTTCATTACAAAATTGTATTGTTCTAATATATATTTGATTATTTTAACCAAAATTTGCTTTATAAGAACAAAGGAACAAAGGAGACGTATCAATACGTTTTTTGACCTCCTTACACGGATTTAATTTATATTAGAATCAAATTGATTCTTTAGATGGACTTCATATTTTCCTAGAACTGTTTTGCATAATGACGAATAGTTCTTTTTAAATATACGGTTTTAAAGTCGATTTTTTGTATATTTTAAAACATGATCTCATTATATTGTAACTCAGTTTTGACATTATTTTTAATAAGTTCTTATAATTCCACTTTGCTAAAATTTTCACACAAATGAATTGAAAAATATCTTCGAGAATACTCATCCTACTCGCGAGCGCCACATACAGTTAAATTCAGCTCTGAATACGGTACAAATGTTTCTTAATCTATCGATTTATGCTACTGTAAAAGATCCAGCAGTATTTATAGAGTATTTATACAAAGTATGTAAAAATGAACTATATGATGAACTTTAAATATACTGTAAAAATTAAATGATTTATTCACAATTGCGTTTGAAAATTATAAGTAATAATCATTATTTAAACATTTATCCGTTTTTAGACAAATCTCTGTCAGTAAGTATAACTACTACGTTTTTTACAAGTAAACTAGAAAACGCTGACTAAAAAGTTTACTCATCTTATTTTGGACTAGTAATATATTGAAAGTTATAATAAAATAGTACGAATATGTATTTTTATGTATCCATGTAAAAGATTTAATTGTTTTCTTTTAAAGCAAATGTTATTGAAACTGAAAAAAAAATCTTTTTAAATAAAAGTCGAATGATTTATTTTGCAATGATAATTCGACATTTTTCAAAAAAGTTAAACTCTTTATGTATATCTTTTTTCACTTATATTTTTTATGATTTTTGCCAGCTGTAGAGGAAGGGGGGGGACAAGAGACCATTTTTCCTAATTTCTGTGATGTATAAAAAGATTGATCTATTTTTTTAGATTTATTAAAACTTTCGTTATCATCTAAAAAGTTAAAAAAAAAACTATTTTTTAAAGACATTTTAATTTCGTCATTTCACCTCCATATATAGGTACATATGGATATATAAGTAGTAAATATACTCTTCTGATATTATTTAGAATTGTCGAGAGAACTGCCAAAACTTTTAAAACTTTTTCATCCTTCGAATGTTAGAAATTTTTCGAAGCATGAAAAGCTTTTAACAATTTCGATAGTTTTGTTAACAATTATGGATAGCACCACAAGAGTTCTAACAAAAGGTATTAATACTCAAAGCTGTAAAGTTAACGTTTGAGAAGTTATTAGGACTTCATATCGCGGAGATTGAAAAATTTCTAACACCTAAACAATTTTTTAATGTTCCGACAGTTCTAATAGGAGTTCTACTTAGCACTTCAAGAATTCTAATGATAATTATTATGACTTTAAGCGCTTAAATTAATATTTAAAGAAAAATCGTAATTTTTCGTGAAGTTCATTTCGTGAAGTTAGCGCCGAAAATTTATCAGTGATTTCTTTTTAGCTAAACTATTTTTAGTTTAGCAGACTTATTTTTAATTTTATTAAGGACTCTAAAACTCTAAAACTCTTCAGAGTATATTTAGAACTATAAGAAAAATTTATTGTTTTAAAAGATAAGATGCTAACTTCACAGAGATGAAATCGTGTTCTATTGTAACAATGAGTTTCAATTCTGTTCAAGCATTTCTTAACGATAAATTTTGTGATAAAGAAATTTTTCTAACATACTAACATGCCGATTAATGCATTTTTGAGCGTTTATTTAAGTTCTTCACATAATAATACTGGCAGCGCGTAGCTTGAATCACTTTAGAAAGAAACTGATCCGTTGCCAAAACGCTATTGCGTACTTAGGAAATACTGTTGCGTATTTAGCGTTTATTTTTGCAAATGTGTATTGGCAGATAGATGCGTTTGCACGTGCAGCTAGGTTTTTTGGTTATTTCTTTAAAAGATTTTAATAAATACGCTGTATGCACATATATATTAATATTGGTTAATATTAGAAAATAAAAAATCATAACCTACTTATTGTTTTATTTAAAAAAAGTACAGGAAATTTTGCTATAAGAAATAAACCAATTCTGACAGTTGGACATTTCAATAAGTACGCTGTATATATCACAAAGATCAAATATCTCGTTCATATTAAAATTCTTTGTATATTTATAATTCATGAAAATGAATAAATAATAACGCTTAATAAAACACACTTATGTCAAAGTACGAAGAGATCGAAATGAAAGTGTTTTATATTACAAACAAGAACCATAGTATTCCATAATCGATTTCAACCGAGCAGACTATACCTCTCGCTTTGGGGGGGGAGCCGTAAGAATAAAATTATCACGGCTCGATGCAGTAATTCTTCTGCGATCGAGCAAAAATAAACGTTTAAAAAAAATTTTTTTTCTTTCGATACACAGGATGTCTTTGACGATATCATTACAACTCCGTTTATTTACGACGTCCTGAATTAATTATGAATTGTACTATTCTTGAGAAAAACGATTGATCTGAAATGTGTGCTTCTCCATAAAATCCAGTTTCTTGTCAAGATTTAATCATCAATTAATGTACACACTACTTTAATTATTTATAGAATCTTTAATGCATACGTTGTATCATGATGTTCAAGTTAGCGTTAAATTAGATAGTAGATCGGATTTTTTAAATTTTTGTTTGAGATGATTTTAGTAAATAACAAACATTAAAAGTTTTTTTGTGTTATAAATCTGAAAACACAATAACTTATACAGAGCTCGACGTTACACTCTTTACATTAAAATCTGAAATCTAGATCTTTTGTTCGCAATTCTTTTCACTCCTGTAGTACAAACAATACATCTTTTTGTCCTGTTGGATGATTTTTATCTTTTTCGATATAGGAAGGAAAGCTAATTATCAGACGTACTCTCTAAAAATGAATCGCAGTGTATTATTACTGAAAAACAGCAAATAGTCGCTGATTATAAGCTGATTATAGCAGTTATAAGTGTAGAGCACTGTAAACCAGTAAAATTTTACTGAAAGAATTAGTTAGTAACATTAATTGTTCCAATTAGTATTATTAGACTACTATTAGATAGTAAATATCCCAGTAAACACCAACTAGTAGTAATGATCACAACATTATAATTTTCTATTCAACAATTTAATATGTACAACATACAATACATGAGTTACAGTTAACAGTTACATTGTAATTAATAAAAAATTGTAATATTGAGGTTACACTATTGTTAATTCATATTAATAAAAAAATAATTATTATTTGACCCACATAGATAATATCACATTGTAAATAATTTCTCATTTAGCTCTTGAGTCTGGATTTTACTTTTTGTAAATGGTTTGACCAAAAGTTTTATCTAATTGACTATGTTGAAGGAGGGATCAAAATTATCTTTCTATTATCGCCTTTACATTAAAGAGAATTCAAACAGGAGTCGAAATGTCGGTATTGCTATTGCAAACTTTGTATTTGATAATTATTGTGTGTAAAGTTACTAAAAAGTTATTCTTGTATAAATATGACATGCAATTTTTGTGGATAGTTGCTGAACGAATTTGTCAAGATTTTCTTCTAATTTTTTTTCACCGAAGCCACTTCCGAGACGAGTAATGAGTAACTGTGTACGGCATACTTACTTATATACGGGTCAATCTTGATCACGCGCGATCGTAATTCGACGCCATGGCGATCTCAAGATTTTGATTTTGATATCATCTTTGTGGTCGTCGGTTGTGGTCACGCGATAGAAAACTGAGGTTTACAACAAGTATTTTTCATGCACTGATCGATATCATATGACCTGTTTTAATCGCATGCCGAATACAGAATGTTCAAAATAAGTAAAGAGTCATTTAGCTTTAAAGCCGTTTCTCAAAATGTGGAGAGAAAATATTATTCTTATTTATTTGTTTATATAATTCTGTAATAATTTAATTCTAAATTTATCAATGAACTTGTTTGCTTATTTATTTGCTTTATCAAGAATGATTACTGTTTAGGGTATCCTTCGGCTCGAGCAAAGGGTCGATGGTGGAAACACTCGTTTATGAGACCCCAGTGCAAGAGGAACCTGAGATCAATCATTTTCTGGACCACAACGGCCGCCTACCTCCTCCTATGATACCTGTGCCTGATACTGAGTAAGTTTTAATCTCACAAAAAAAGAATTATCGAAATTCTATCCTGTATAAACTTCTTTTAATCTCGAGTTTTAAGTAGGTATTTTAAATATTTCAAAATTTCAAAATTTAACATAATATAAAAAATGTATTATGTGAAATTTTTTCTGAAGAAAAAACATATGTCTTTAATATAAGAAGCATATAGCACATTTACTGTTACATTATACATGCAAATGTAATGCAATGAGCTTAATTTGGATCATAACAGTTTTAATTGGCAATAAACGAATAAGATATTATGTCACATAGATACATATATTGAATATATGACGCATGCATTGGCTTGTTTTTCGCGAGCAATCGTAACTTTAGCAACAACTCGTAAATTAATGCCTCAAAATTTCGATCACGGAAGCCGATTATCGCGTTAAATCGCATCCTCGAAAGCCGCATGTGCGTGACGTCAACTGGCGCACCCGCGGGCACCGAAATAGCATCCGTTTCTACGTGCGCATGCATCGAGGAGCAATGCTAGATTGCGTAGAAATCGACATTCGTAAATATCGAATCGGCTCGTCAAATCAAAACGCGGCGCAAAATCTCGCTGTTGCTGCATCAAATCCCCTTTGAGTTACGTCTCCACCCTCATTGAACAGATGTTCATCGTTAAATGTAATAAGATACCGAACCAGGAGTCTGCGAGATCGAACTGTACTTTCATGCACTATTATGCACTAAAACTAATTTAGCTATGTTATTACTCAAGAATGAATTAGCCAACGATTTCCATTATAGGGAATTTTATAGAAATATTCGCAAAAGCTAATAAGGCAAAAAAATGTAATTTGTAATTAAGTTACCTTTCTCGCCTTTTTACAAAATGTATTTCTCAAATTTATTATCTCAAAAATGTATTATTACAAAATGTATTATTACAAAACAAAATATAAAATATATTCTATTAATCCGTGATATCAAAATGAATGCAAGAATGAAATAAAAGTTAACAAATTAAAAATATAAAAGGTAAATGTCTGCGCTGGATGCGTTAATGTGTTAAAAAATGTCACGACGTGCTATTCTAACATTCTGCATTCCGTTATTCACTGCAAGTATTGAAAAGTTTACGTTACGTATATTTATCATTATACTATTACTAGATTTTCAGTATTTACAGTGAATAACGGAACTCAGCCACAATCTTAGCGTGTATCAAGTGATTTCCCGTTCCGCCAAGGCACTCGCAATGCCGACTGGTAGCGATCGGTCGTGTTCGTCGTCATTTATACGTTGCGCCTTAACGCGAACAGTAGTCATTGTTACTTCGTAGATATGGAATTGTAAAGAGAGTAAAGATTTTTACAGAAATTAGCGCACGTTTTGAGTTGCACAAGCATACCCATTATTCCCATAATTGCAAGGCCATAAGGACACTAGTCAATGAGAAAATAGCGTTCCATATAACGCAACAGGCACACCCCTTTCCTTAACAATAGAAAAATATAAAATATAAAAAAGCAAAACAAAAACGGAACCATTATCCTGTATACGTCTTTCTATCTACTGTCTGGATAACGCTAAGAGTAGGAATTTTTTAATTATTTTTATTTATCTTTGCAATTTCGCACTAATCCGCGCGATCAAATTTCAGCGTAGAGGCTAAAACAGTCGTAACAGTCCCGATTATATCGTTATAATTATATATCTATAAATTTAAGTTATTCGTAGTTATTTCTATAGGTCGCCACTGCTTCTATTATATCATTAATTTAATTAAAACAATGAAATTAAACAATTTCGTTCAAATTATATCATTAATTTAATTAAAACAATGAAATTAAACAAAAAAAAACACATTTAACTCAAGAATACATTAATTTGACTAAAATTTAATTTAGTACTTATTAAATGAATACGTTAATATAAACAGCATTTATATTAATGTATTTAGTAAATAATAAATTAAATTTTAGCCAAATTTAATATATTTTCTTGAGTTAAATTGTTTAACTCTTTTGAAACTAATCACAGAAATAGATTAATTTATATTTTGACATACTTGGAAGGTAAAAATAATAATGTTATTTAACTTAAGGGATTAAACTACATTAAACCATTAGGGATTAAAGACGTTAAAAAGTAAGATTCAGAAACGCGTATTTATCTTTATTAGGATATTTTAATCCCACTAGCGCGCACAATTATGAAAGGATGTTCATTGATAACAATTCGTTAAGAAAATTCGCGTATTTCGACTTTGACGGTTATCGTGCTGTACAACATCAATATTACGTGGCGATAAGATTACGAGATGATTAAGAGTATTTTGAAAAAGAGACGACAGTTCGATAATACACCGCGGTCGCTCGATTACACCAATTGTGCAGATCGATCGTGAGTCCGTTTTTTCCGGCGAGGTACGAAAAGTGCAAAGTACTAAAGTCAGCCGTGAACGGCGTAGCTAACTTTTTTAGCGGACTCGCTCTCGCGTCGATGAGATCATCGCAATTCTTTATTCGCATACGGTTACATATACCGACGGTTTTGTAATCACGTACGTGGTTCTCATATTCAAACGTGCAAGGCCCCCGTTAGCAACGCAAATTGCACAGCTCGCGCGGTCAGTATCTTGCCATTGAATAATGCAGCGAACATGCTTTAGCCCTTTAGTTTCCCCACGTGATGTTTATTTGCCTGACGTACGTTGGTCGGTGGATTCAAGTTTGGAAACCAAGCTTTTCGATTTCAATATCATTGTATGCAAACATCACGACGACGTATAACTTATGATATCGTAAGAACACTTAGCATCGTAAGATCGATTTAGTATCGTAAGAACAACTTAGTTGTTTGTATAATGAGATTTGTATATGTTTTATTACGTATGTTACAATAAAATTTTCATTATCATGTGAGCATATGATAAAATATTGTGTAATATGATCATAAAACTATATAGAATATATATATTGTAGAGAGAATTTTTTTTAGAATTTATCCTAAAAATCGTAGTAATCGTAGAACAATATCGTATTTAAAAGAATTTTATAATAATATAATTTATTAATATCTATCACAATAAAATATGTTTGTTTAAATTTTACTAAAATAAATTTCAATAATTATAAAATATATTAAGCAATTTATACATGATTCCTTATTGTTTTAAATATAAATGCCAAATAGGAAGAGAGGGATAAACATATAAACTATCTTATATAAATACTTCATGATATTTTTAATCTGATTTCTATGTTCGATTATGTTCTTTTTACTAAAATATTTTACTAAAGTCATTCATCCGCGAAGTACGCGGCACTGCCACTAGACTCGACGGAGTTCTATTTTTTGCAAGTAAATCCATCCAGAATATATATAATAAAAGGCGTAGCATTATGAGATTTTTTATTGATATTTTTTTCTTTCTCTCTCTCTCTCTCTCTAATAAAATGTTTTTTTAAATGCAAATTTTCAATATTAGATTCTAAGACGAAAGTAAATGAGAGATGTGTTTTGACAGTACAATTTTTAGTTTACAAAATTATTTTATATAGTTTATAAAATGACTTTATTTTAGTACGTAGTTTATAAAATGCTCGTGTTTCCAAAATTTCTATCATTGTCGATAATATTTTATAAATTGCCAAATTGTCTCAAGTTTATTATCAAACATAATAAAATTATGTTTGATAAAAAAGTAGCTAACTTTGCGATAAAATATAACGAATATTTTTCTCCGTGTTATCTTCATAGATAATATGTTGTGAGAATAGCTTACTGCGCTATTTTTACAACTTTCCCACTACTTCTCGGTTAAACAATGATTGTTTTCATACTTTTTAGGACCTCTAACAAAGGATTTTTAAAGATTAATTTAGGTTCCATCGTGAGGCAGAATTTAGCCTTATTTAACAGTACTTCTTAGGCTAGATGCAGATCTGTGTATGTGAAAATAATTTGTTAGACAATCAATAATTATGTAAGACATCATAAGACGCAAGCTATTATAGTTATTAGAATGTTAAATTTTTTTCCTGCATTGCTCATCATGCTTGAGCGTCCCATGATTATTTGATGGTTCAATATACATAATTATTTTTAGGTCTGTATCTAACCTAATTCTTATATATTTCAACCAAATCACTTGTTCCACGTTGAAGAGATAGAAAGAAAATATTTTATATTTGTTTTTATTAAATCATCAGGAAAGAGCACTTTCCTTTGCGAAGTGCATACATGTCCCTCTTAGATCACAGCATTATTCTTTTATCTTCTTCTTTTCTTCTTTTTTAGTCATTTTAGATTGAGTTCTTTCTGGATTCTCCTTCCACACTTTTTAGAGTAGATGTCTTTGCATTTATCGGAACGTATTTTTCTGAAAATTGAGATCGAAACATTATGCATCGTGTTTTGTTGCATGAAACCTTAGAACATATATAAATGGAAGGAGAGTTGCGCCTATGTCGCCCATGTATCGAGCCTGAAGCCAACATCTGTGCGAGAGAGATAGCTAGAGAGTCCCAAATGTACACATTGCGCATGCGCAGACCGTCTGTGTGAGTTGTACAGTTGTTTAGTGTTCCTCACACATTGACAACAAAGTAGAATGAAGTGGAACGGAGGAAAACGAACTGAGTGGCACATGCGCATTACAGTCAATTTGGATTCTATAGCTTTCTCTCTCGCACAGATGTTTGCTTTAATAAAGCTCTAGATATACCAAAGCAGCGCAAAGGTCCTTCATCTTTGACCTAATAACCATATCATATTAAAAAAATTACTATAATAATACTAAACGCTTATTGGACTACAGCCACCGTGTTAAAAATGGCAGTTGAAATAGCCAATAGGAAAGTTATCGTATTTTGTCTCAGATAAAAGGATTGCGCTAATTTGGTATCTAGAGCTTTGAGCTTCAGGTTCAGCCTGAAGCTTTCTTTGAGCCTCAATTCCTCTTCCATTTATATATGTTCTAAGTATGAGACACCTGCAGTTCGCAATATCGATTCGAACGCGAA